GTCAGGGGAAGATAGGCAATGAATCAATCACAACATAGGTCATGAAACTAGTGTTTCTGGTAGTGGATCCTCCCCCCCCCCCAAGATACCCAAAACTTCCTCTGAAAGAAAAATTGCTAGACTAAGTGAAGAAGATTAGTAATCATATCTACTCTCCTTCTTAACCTTGGGGCTTTAACCCTGAGGTCCAAATTATTAAGATAGTTTCTACTCTGAACAGTAAGAAGAAAATCTATTATTTATGAGGTAATATGGATATTGCATGCAAAGCTGTGGTGTTTGCTTAGCAGCTCAACAAATTAGAAGTAAAAGCATTACAGAAAAGAGGATTCAATGTGTTGATATTAACTATGTTACAAGTCACTCCTCAAGTTTATGCAGGAACATTTGTGATGATCACTGTTTCTAAGCAAACAAATATGACTGACCAAATAAGTAACACACAATATTGAACTATGGGACAGGGGTCCCCAAGCAAACTCATGCAACCTCTTCAATCAAAGAAATCTCTTTATTAGTCTTAAAGTGTTCCAGTTTCTTCTCAATGCTTTCAGTAATACCACATTCAAAACCAGTATCTTTCAAAGATATTATGCTTACCTAGAAACATCCATGTAAGTTAGATAATTTGGAACTGGATACACATCAAGGTGAACAAGTTCTGGAAAAGAAAGACAAATAATATATTGCAAAGATAAATCTAATATTAAACTACTAAAAATACACCACCTCATATTGCCCAGGTTCATTGAAACAATATACAAATCATAGCATGGATGACCAAATGATGTCCACCAGGTCACGGCAGAAGCAACCGAACAGTTAAACAACAAATAGTGAATCCAGTAAAAAATAAAGAACATTTTAATAAGACTCTAAAGAGATTTACTGACATAGACGGGATTCTCTCCTATTTGCCCTTAGCTTATATAAGATATAGCTGTGTTGTAAAGAAAGGTGTTCATCCTTTATTTTGTCAACTATAGTTTGTTTTCACTACTGTAATCCATACAGTGTTTTTTGAGAGTCCATGAAATATTTTTCTCCCCAATAGCTCAATGATCTATTTCCCATCAGTAAGGAAAACTGTGTTATGGTTTTATCACTTCACAATGCAGGTGAGGTCTGGTATAGCAAAGATAGAAAGAAAACCTTTTCACACATAAAATTAGCTTCAGTAAGTTTAATCAGGGTGAGGACACCAAAACACCTTTGGCTAAATTTTAAAAAGCTTTCTTTTTGAAGTCAAATCTTGGGCAAGAACAAGCAATCCTTCTCCTAGTGGTCACTAGGCAGAAATATTGGGCGGAGGGGGGGCACTGCAGACAGGCAGAAAGAAAATAGGGTGGTATTCTGATGTTATGTAGCCCTTGATTTTCAGCTAACTCCTTCTCTGAACATATAGCTCTCTATGCTTTGCAAGTGTGTGTTTTCTTTGTGAAATGGAGGCACATTCAATCATACAACTCCATTTGCAGCGTCTGCTTCTGCGATACTACCCAGGCACAAATCCATCTCCTTGGTGAGAATTAGTCCTCTGGATAAATCAATGATCTCTCACTTGATTATTTCCCCAAGGCCATCCTCTAAAAAAGAATCTACTGTACATTACAATATACTGTGTTTTACTTCTAGACATGCAATCTATTGAAATGTCCTCTTGACCCCATGTTAAGCCTTTACCATGACTAGTAGCTGCAACAATTTTTATACGCTAATCTATAATTATATTCCACAGCTGCAGCTCATCCATTCATCGAGATACCATAAAAGTGATTATTTCAAAAAGCTTGATTTTTGCTACTACTCATTTTGCAATCTGCCCCACCACTCAATTGCATGTTATGCATATGAAGATGCATGCAGGTGGTCTTAAATCAGGGGTTTTTAAAAAGAATCAGTCAGGGGAAGATAGGCAATGAATCAATCACAACATAGGTCATGAAACTAGGACTCACCCCTAGACTGATACTTAGGGAAGTGGAAGATGGCAGGAGAAATGAGAACTATTGCTGCCCAGCTCAGCTGCCTATTTCAGCCAAAGAGGCCTTCAAGATTTGACTGAGGTCTTTCCCCCCACCCACTAGTAGCAATATTATGCAAAACAGAAGTGTGTGTAATTTATACAAGCAGTGGAGAAACTGTTTTTATTTTCAGGATATAACATGTTCAGCCCAATCTTCAATTCAAAGTAAATTTAGTGTCTTTTCCAGCTGCAGTCTTTTTAGCAAAAAAAGAAAGGAATTGAAATTTTATTCAAAAGACAAGCATGTAACATTGTTCTGAATCAGCTTCTCAGCACCGTCACTCATAAGTACAGTGACCATATGCCCTTTATTATAAAGGACAGTCTTTTATTTATTTTTCAAAAACTCACTTTTGTCCTTTATTTTGGTCATTTAACTTTTACTGTATAAATGGGACCACCTAATGCATAGTCTTTCACATTCATGTGAAAAATACGGAAACTGAATTATCTTTTTAAAATAAATTTACATATACTATTTGATTTTAGATATTTTTATTAGAATATCCTTTTTTGTAAAGTGTTTCTTGGTTTTGCTGTTGAATTTTCCTTTGTAAAGCAAAATTATAAACATAAACAATTAATTTTTTTTATCCTTATGAACTCCTTCAGACTTTCCCCTTTTTCAGGTTTGTCCTTTATTTTTCCCAAGAAAATATAGTCACTGTACTCATAAGCCAAGTCAGCTACTGACTTGCTCCCAATCATTCTGAATATCAGAGATAAATTGTCAACAATGGAACAGTGGCTAACAGTGGAGATTCCAAGATGAATCTGAGGTCAACCTGGACTAAAGGATGATGATGCACGGGACAAAGGGTACAGAGAACTAGTTTTCTGTTAACAGGGAGATAAAAGGAAGATAAAACATTGAGGCTGTTTCAAATCAACTCAAAGTGTAGAAATCCAGAAGTTCCCCCTTGGCTTCTGCTGAGCGATAGGGGCCTCTTATCAGAGTATACTGCCAGCTTGAGAAAGATCTCTGTACATGTTGCTAAGCTTCTCCATGGGAAAAAGTATTGTGGAGATAGATGCTGGTTTAGTGGCTACTTGCAGCAGAGGCAGATTCTACTTCTCCTTCCCCTTTCAAAGAAGCAGAATTGACTGATGAAAAAAAACAGATTACTTTCAGAAAGGGGAAAAAGAGAACAAGAAAGTGGAAATGGAGAGCCTGAGAAAACATCCCATAAAGGGTCTAGCAACATGAACCTATAGTATTAATATAAATGAAACTTCCTCTAATGAGGAAGAAGCGATAGTGTTTTCTCTCAACTTAAGTGAGCCAAATCTTTGGATTAGAATAATGTTCTTCTATGGAATGTTATGAAATCCACACAACTTTCCAGGCCAGTCACTCAATTTTATCTCACAAAGAATATTTTTATTTATACGTGAGACACTCTGGGAGGTTTAAAATTTGCATTTAAATTCCAAGGATCATTATTCATTTCCACCTTACAAGACTCTAAACAGCATTTCCACCCTACAAGCCTCCAAAATTCTGCTGCTAAATGTTTTATGTAAAGCCAGATTGTTAAGAACTGGATTCATCCATAACTTAATATAGCACACAAGTCCAGTGCAGGAAGAAAAGGCTAGGAATATCAATTCTTATTTGAACTATCTTCAAAGTGAACATACCATTTGAAGTGGCATAGAGAGCTTTAAGCAAATATCCACTGATTTTGAGGGTTACCAGCTGGTTTCTTTCACAGTGTAGTATTTCAACATTATTGAAGATGGTTGCATCTAGCTCCCCTAGTTTATTATCTCGAAGATCAAGCTGGGTCACATGATGTAGGAAGTCACTCTCATCTCCAGTCAACCGTCTAATCACATTTAACCTAGCACAGAAATGGGGGGG